GTTGGCACAACTGTTAACTTGGCGAGCGGATACACAATGAGTAAGTGCAGCCAGTATTGAGTGTAGACGCCACACTTGGAGGTAGTACCACTGGTCCGATGTTTTGGATTCGCCCTCGAAACCACTATCAGATAAACAGATGTCGAGGATGCGCAAGGAATGCAGTTTTTGTACAGCACGGTTACTATGTAATTACACGCTTATTGCTGGGGGTCGCACAAAATGCGACAATTGCTCATTAGTTCGCGTCCAATTAGTTAAGTGACGAAATTTAATTCGTGTTGTCCATTCTTTGCATGCTGATAGCTCGACAATTTGGTCCGATAACACTGGAATTGGTAGTCACCCGTGTCTAATTATTTTTATCCCATGCGACATCTCAGCACAGAAAATGGTGTCGGGGAGGACTAAGTGCGTTTTTCTATCGACTGCGAGCTGTCAGGGAAGACTGAGTCAGGCCGCTCACGCGGTTATTTATCATTTCGAGGGTTTCGGTCCAATTCAAACGTGACTGGGTGGTTGAGTACCAATGCATGGGCAGTGACCCCTCCTCACTGCTGCTGCATGTTAGGGCATTCGGGTTCGGAAAATTTATTCATTTTCCTCCCCCTAACTGACGCTGCATGTTCGGGCATTCGTGTTCCGTAGAAATTTCCTCACTACTACTGCATGCACGGCCGTCTGCTCCAACCATGAATTTCTTTGTTGCGGACAGCTAACTATGCTTTCCCTGTCCCAATTCCCGCCGTGTCAACCTCATGCAACTTCGCAGACAGCTGCTTCTGATTTCCCAACCTTAAGACGATTAATCGAAGTCCACTCGCAAACGCGTATCCAAACCAGCCGCGTATGTCTCAGGGCCACTCGAAAATGCCACCCCTCAACCGGCACAGCATGGGCCCCAATACGCGACACCACCTTTGGGCCATGCAACACACAAATCGTACACCACTTGATCTCGCTTCACAATCATGGAAAGGCAGCATGGCTGGAGGCAGTCAACATTACCTCTGACTTTGCCAGTGGCCACTACTACCCTAGACAGCATCTCCGGGTTCTGTGCCTTCTGCCTTTCGCCACTAATTTGGCATCCGATTTGATTATTATAGGGCTTCGAGTACGCCCACTACGC